CTTGGGAATATGAGGATCCAACACTGTTTTGTTGGGGAGGATAAACCCAGATCTTCAAAAAGGGGAGGTGTTATATCCCGATGAGAATAATGAATGGTGATTTTCGGGATCCATTTATGGACCAATACTGAGTATATTTTTATCGTGTAATTGTTATGTAACTAAACTGTTTATATTCATGTCCCTGTTATTATGAGTTTTATTTTGACCTATGAACTATTATTATACGTTTCACCATTCTTGAATTATTCCCTGTCTATTAATCACTACCTCCCTCATTCACAGCCACTTTTGGCCAAAAACTGTACAAATGTTATTTTCTATTTTATGGTACGTTGTGGTCTGTTTGATTGGTATATAAACCCCGTATGTTTGAAAATAAATGATCCATATTGCAGAGGCTGAAATTGGTGTTCTGGACTTAACTGGCTGGGCTAGACAGGGAGCGAGACCAATCAGGACTCTAGGCTGCTCGCACTTGTTTTATGCGTCACTGGTTCAATCGATAATTCGCTGCTCTCTGACTGGCGGTATCGTTGCGTTAACCATAACAGGGCACACAGTTTCACAAGTTATAACAAAGTGATAAAAATATTAGAAAGTTGTTGTTATAAGGATCGCACCAGGACAATTGCAACTTTTAATGTCTAGTAACAAGAAACCATAAGCCGTTAAAAGTATGAGAGTAGTCATCACTTCTCGGTTGCCCACACCGCGGAAGGGTCCTTCTGGAGGCACCTAAAAAAATTGGATTACGGGTGGTCTTATTGACTTGAGAGTGTGACCACAGTGCCCAAGGGACAACTACTTGAGGTCGGTCACACACGAACTTTTTGTGAGTAATTTTCGTGTTGGCTCCGTATTTGTTGAGACCTTACCGCCAGAGACGGATATCCGTAGGACAAGGCGAGGTGTGCATTTTTAGGATCGACCTTTTCTAATCCCACCCCTCCTTGTGGAAAGGCAGCACCGCTATTATACTGGTTGTCTGAAGAAAACACCTTACTCCCGTCACCTCCGTACAGTCAGCAGTACGACTTCGCTCTCAGATCTTGGGGTTTGCTACTTTTAGTCTTACCGCTCTTCAATCGACCTGCCTGGAATGGTAAAACATTGGGGAACGATTGTTCCAACCAGTATAGCCCGACTGGTTCATCACGATATCTAAGCCCTACCACCATTTCAAGGTAGCTGAAACGGTTGGGAAGCTGTAAGCACCATTTATACTTGTCCAGTTTCGATAAACAGGGCGTATCTGTAATTGTCGAAGTATTAATGCTCTTATTTGCCATGAATAGAAATGTTACCACTAGATTATTTAAACCAAAACAAAATCATGTTACAACTAGATTTCTTAAAAAAAAAGCCAATAAATGAATAACTGATCAGTGTTTGAACTTATACATTCGAACTGTTCCCTCCACTGTGAGATGTGTCGCACAAAAAAGTGAAAACAGTAATGAAACTCAAGTTTAAAGTATTTTACTGACTGACTGAGAACATCTAACATTCAACCAGTATACTATATAACGTACTCCCATTTGGACTAGTGAATACAAACACAGTATCGTTTGATTGCTAAACCCCAATCAGTAATTATAAACTGTTGGGACTTTAAACCCGGATAGTTATCACGTGATTTATTCGCCAATCGAAATACGACTTATTCAGTCTTAGCACTGTGCTAAAACAATGACGTTCGACCGGCATGAACAGCCTAGTATCCTTATTGGTCTTTTGTTTGCCTAGCTCGTCCAGTTGAGTCCAGAACGCCAACAACAGCTTCCACTATGCGAATCATTTATTTCAAACATACTTGGTTTATGTACCAGCCACACAGACTGTATCCCACCATAAAATAAGAAATAACATTTATACAAGATCAAGCCAAAAAGTGGCTGTGAACATGTGAAAATGTAGTTAATAAACTGAACATAACTTAAGAACAGTAAATCGCATAATAATCTATAGGTCAAAATGAAGCTTACAATAAAAGGAATATAGACATACATAATCTAGTCACTGAACAGTTAATATATTAGACTATTAATAGTTCTCTGAAGTTACCCGTAATTTAACCTTCACTAGGATATAACACTATAATTTGGTAATCTGTGTTCAATTTTAACTTTTAAGATAAATATAAGTGAACAGAACTGATAGTATTTACAAGTTTATGACCTAACAGTAGTTTCATTAGTGAAAATTCTGTCGTTGGTGAACAAGTTATTCAGAAGACAGTAAAGCTGATAGTGATTACGGACAATCTACTTATCAAGTCTAAATGGCATTTGATAATCAGAGTGAGCTTTAATTTACATATATTGGTTGTTTGAATCTTTACACTAATGTATGTTTAGGACTGAAATTGATCACTTTCTTTAAGTATGTGTGCATCTTGTGATTATTGCCTCTATACTGCCACTAAGTTTCAAGCATTTTTAGACAGAGATGGATGGCTAGCAGTGGAGTTCAGGACGCGCGTTTTGTCTTATCTGGGAACCGTCGGGTGAATGTACCAGCATCGCAGAATTGGCGTTCACTCCGAGACAACTCAGCTCTTCGATCCAAGTGCATTCCAGATAGGACGAAACATGAGTCCTGAATTCCACTGCTAGACAATATCCATTTCAGAATAACCTGTGTGTGAAATAAGTTATGATATATATAACTCCAACTGAAGCCTTTCAAGGGTTAATGCTGGTTGCAAATCAGGATAGAGAAGGATTTGAAGCGAGGTTAGCAACCTCTTCCCGTAAAGAGGGCCTTGCTAAATAAAATTCTAGCAAGGAAGAATCAATTAAACTATATAAACTCTACCATGTGAACTCAAGGGTCTTCATATACAAGAGTTATGATACCTTGTAATGAAAGCCGAGATTCTTTGGAATTCACAGAACCATGCCTCTTCTGAAAATCAGAGCAACATTTAATATAAGTGCAAAGAATCTTCATATAGGGGAATGGAATGACCATTCAAGTAGACGAGGAAATGAGAAAATACACTCTGGCTCTTGGAATAAGTGTAACCTATTAGACACAAGCTAGAAAGAAAAGGTTACCATCGAGAGAGTTGATGTTGTACTCTGATCATGAAGAAATTGCTTCGCACACACAACGACTTGCACTGATAATGTTTAAAGAAGCACGAAAAGCATATATACGATCCTTCAAAACAAAGAAAAAGGGAACCACAATGAATGTTATCCAGTGCTATACACCCACCAGGGATAGCAATGAAGACGATAAAGATCAATTTAATGAGAGACTGCAGTCTATTGTAGAGAAGTGGCTATGAAAGGACTCGATTATCCTGATTTATTTACTTGTTTGTTTATCTGAACACATAAATATTGGTACAAGAGGGCACCAAATATATATGTACCACACAAATTAATTATATTTGTGTGAGAGCTGTGATACTGCCCGGGTGCCCAGACCGAAGCAGGTGGTTTTCTTAGGGGGCCACTCCCCGACCCTTTGGCCCAAAGGTCTGACCCGCAAGGCAATCGAGCATCGTGAGGAGATGCCATCCCGTAGTAGCCGGTGAACAACCATTGGTTCATACGCCATTTGTTCCCTCAGGATACTCGAGCCCATGTGCACCATTGGTTTGGGATCCGGTTAGAGCGACGGACATTCGCTTTTCGTCCTCTCGATTTCGTAAACAACACCCCCGCCACGAGAAGGCAGTGAGTAGGACTTCCCTGGCAGGGGCTGTATACGCGTGGTCGTGTGAGAGCATTTCGAGAGCCATACCAGGGCATTTGGGGACAAGTGAAAACCTTGGGTAAAGTTGGATGATTTAGGGTTTGCAAATGATATAGTCCCTCTATTTCATACACATTTACAAGTGAAAAACAAAATCCTGAAGTATAACGTAGTGAGAACCAACCCAATCACATTATGAAGGAGCTCTGGAAGAGGCAGAAAGTTTTATGCAACTGGGTAGCATCGTCGATGAACAAGAAGGATCCGATGCAGGTGTGAAGGCAAGGATTGGCAAACTAACGACAGGATTCCTACTATCGAAGAATATATGGAACTCAAAACAACTGTCAGCCAACATCACAGTCAGAATCTTCAGTATGAACGTCAAGAAAGTCCTATTGTACAGAAGTGAAAATTTAAGAACTACTATACCCATCATTAAAAACGTATGGATACTCATAAACAGTTTTCCATACAAGATGTCTTATATCCGTTGGCCGGATACCATCGGCATCAATCTACTACGGCAGAGGACAAACCAGATGCCGGCTGAAGAGGAAATTACGAAGGACACTGGTAGTGGGTAGGATATTCGTTGAGGAAATCATCAGTGCATCACGAGCAAGCCCTAACCTGGAGTCATCAAAGGCAAAAGGAATAGAGGCAGACCAATCAACACATTGCGCCAGAAGCTGTAGGCAGATATCAAAATAAAAAATAGCATTCGGCAACAACTGGAAAGAACACAAGATCGAGTAGGTTGAATGTCCCTGACCGGCGGCTCGTGCCGCACGAGGAGTAACAGACGCATGTACGAAAGTAAGATTATATGTAACTTGGTAGGCATATTGTCCTAAATTTTTGTTTTAAGTAAGTGACGAATTTTAATTATCTTTCGCAAACTTATTATAATAATACTTTATAATAAAGTACAGGTTTATGTATTAGCCAGAATTGGTGGTTGGAGATATACTATTCCAAAGACTGAAGTCTTGGGTCAATGACCCAGTAACAGTAATTTGTGGACTTGAGGTTGTAACCTATTTTGTCCTTTTGAAAAATAAACAATTCAGATGTTGAATTCTGAGGACATCTTTACAATTGAACAAGAAACACATCACGTACCTGTGGAATGTTATCTCTTATATCCCATATCTGGACATCTCCTTTATCAGAACAACATAGTAACGAAGATATTCCAGGTGAATAGTCGATATCCACAAGATTTGTTTCAATAGGTATCTTTTTGCTGTCATTATTTGTTTGCATTGATGGTAAATGAAGTGAATGCAATTGAAATCCTCTAACTTCATATACCATATCATGATTATTATGAGTAACAAGAATATTGTCACTGTACTTTTGAGGTAAATGTCCCACAATATTTAACATATTGTGCTGAGGAAATGGTAACTTGTTGAGAAACAAAACTGTAAGGATTAAGAGTTAATAAAAACATTTGAGGTTAGTGATAAACTTCAGAATAGATATCTATACAATAGGATTTATTTTGATTCAATAAAGAACTGGGAAACTGTGACAGGAAAAACAAGTATTTACAAGAACATAACCGGATTTTCCCAAATCCTTACGAAAATTGAGGTGAATGTTTATCATGAATACGGTTAAAACAATCATTCATAAATACGAAACAGTCATACATTATTTCGACTGGATGAACTCCAGTTTGTATCATGGATTATGATTTAACGAATGATGCATAGCCTGAGGACTGTTTAAATCAATTAAATAGAATGCTTATCGATAGGTGATACACAGTTATACGATACATGACAAATGTTTATAAGAAAGGACAATTGGTGCGAATTTCAGATTGGACTAAGGTTAAAAACAAGACAGTAAGAAGATTAGGTTTCTCTTTAGTACAATGAAATATTCAAATAGAAACAGTAAGATACAAAATAAACATAGTTATACACCATAGGGATTGAAGGATATGAATTTTGTAGGTCACTCACTGGCTAATGCGATTACGAAAAGGTTGTCAGGTTGTTTAAACTTGTTACTACCAGAAAAATGTCAAGAAAAACTTTTTTGCAGTAGTAACAAGCAAAATAGTACATTTTTCTCAAGACTCAACGGACAAGTATACTGTGTACTTAGGAAGTTCGCCTTTAATTCCCCAAGTCAATCAAATTATCTGAGTACAAAACATGAAACAAAATAGTGGTTTGAATGAGAACGATTTATTATTAATTTTTACATGAGTAGTGGTCAATAATATTTGCATAGAAAGATCGGAGAAACGTCAACATCGAAGATGACAGAAAAATTAATTGTCGTCAACCATCATCTAAAAAATAATTAATGAGGGGTTTGCGCACATATGTGAAGAAAACTTAGTCCCGACGAGATGCTCATATATTTCAATGTTGAGACGCTACATTTAATTAGTTTCAACATACTCGATGCAAGCGAGAAGCTTGATATGGGTTCAAAGAACATTTATTTACTGATCAGTATAAGTGAATGTAATCCAATTTATAATTTACTCAAGTCAGCGATTTTTCCTAAGAATGATCAAATTCTTTCCCGAAAATTCACCCAAAATTACCCGGAATTTTTTAAGCAAGGAAAAACATGGTTTTAAGAAAGGTCTATCATGCGGGAGAAGATTGGGCTGCAGCGAAAGACAGAAATATTCCAATGAATGTAACTCTCATAGATCTGAGTAAAGCCGTTGAGTCTCTCGGCGATACTATAATTTATGGACGACCTTTGAACCAATCAGCAAACAGTCAGTAGAGTAATAATATATTATGCAAAACCAAAGAAATAATGTGGATACATTTCTTATACATGGTTCAAAAAACTTGTCAAGGCTAGAAAAAGGTTCAGAGGTTCTAAAATTGTAATGCATGAAGTAGAGGAAGTCATCCATATAGCTAGAGAACAGTAGACATCTGGAGCCATGATAAAGTTTCAAAAACTTTTTCAGCTTCGACCACATAGTTTCAATATTGTTTGTGTGAACTCCAGTTGTCTAGTACGCAAAATACCAATAGCGGATAACGACACGATGCACAAAACCAAGCCCATGCAGGAGTCTGTACGCTCTCCAATCATCCGTATATATTGTAGTACCTGGCTGCAGCCAGTGTTACTGGTGATTTTATTATCCAGTTCTCAATAATTATCATGATTTGCTTTAGTTAGGAATTATATATAGGGTTTTCATCACGAACTGATATCAGCTATAATGCCAGAAATCTACTTAGCCAAATAGACAAAAAGCTTTCGCGCCAAAATCTGAGATCCGTTATCTTATACCTGCTCGATTTGTCCACAAATTATGGTCTCACCGTTTTATTTGTTATAGACGCTCAACTATCACGTTTTGTACAAAATCCCCTGTGAATCGATCGCACGTTAGCATCATGCACTGAACTTGGCGCCGTGACCTTGAAATATCTAAGACGCTTTTGATTGGCTCGTCCATAAGTTGCTTGCTGATTGACTAATATTTATCAAGGTAACTCAAGAATCGTTCAAAAGTCGTCCACAAATTATAGTCTCGCCAAGTTTTTAAATCATGTAAAAGAAGAATATCCACTATAATTCATTACTTATTTATAATATATTTTCACTTTATACTAACTGTCTTCTGATTGGCTGATAACAAAGGCAAGTTGGAGCTGACCATTCCACTTGTGGACTGTCTAAACGATAAAAAACGTGTAAAGGACAGGGCCTACCACCTCGGCAAACCTCGTATAGGTGGGCTATCTGTCCATTCACATAAGGTTCATACAGAAAAACAGGACGAAGCTCATGCGTTCCAAATTGAAAGCATAAACTGCTTATATATGAACGCCGCGAGTCTACCAAACAAACTGGATGAACTACGTGAACTTAGCAACGCTAACAAGGCCCATCTGATAGGAATATCTGAAACCTGGATATCTTCTCAGTTCTCGGATCAAGAGTTAGCATTGCCTGGGATGACTTTGTTCCGCAACGACAGAAAAATAGGAATTGGGGGCGGAGTAGCCATATACATAAGCTCTTGCTTGGAGGTGCACCAGGTTCACAACCTCGAGTTTAACAATCTTGAGGAATCCATATGGTGCTCTGTAAGGCTGTCTAGTACTTCCAGGTGTCTAGTCGGAGTCATTTATAGGAAGCCAACTGCCGACACCGAGTACGATAGTCGTATGCTGGAAGGACTATCCCGCTCTATCCGTCTCGGTTTCACACACATCCTGATTCTAGGGGACTTTAATCTCCCTAGAGTCAACTTCGCGGAACACACGTACACTGGAGGCGACAACTCAACTGAAGCTCGGTTCTTCAACCTCATCGATAACTTGGGCTTATATGAAAATGTGAGGTCGGCAACTCGTTGGAGAAACAGTCAGACACCATCGCGCTTAGACTGTGTATTCACTAACGAAGAATTCCTAGTCGACAACCTCTCAATCCTGGCTCCTCTGGGAAAAAGCGATCATGCCGTCATAGCCTTCAGTTTTGTCATCAAAACTAAGCTAAGGTATCCCAACAATAATTTGCGATGGAATTTTAAACGGCTGAATGTGCGAGCTCTACATGACCATCTACAACAGGTGGTTTGGGATGTTCACCCTCAAATCGATGTGGATGGTCATTGGGACTTCTTGCTGCACACGCTCTTATGTGCTACAGACCATTCAGTTCCTCAAACGGTTCCCAAAAGCTTCAAGCCACCTACAGTAATCAAGAACCGTACCCTTCGCCTCCTAAGCCGCAAAAGACACTGTTGGGCGGAATACAAACGAACTAATAACGATGGAGCGTATAGGCAATACAAACATATCAGGAACACATGCACGAAGGCTATAAGAGAAGACAGGCTTCAGTACCAAACAAAGCTTATGGACAAATTCGCCTCTAACCCTAGAAGCCTATTCCGTTATGCAGCCTCTCTTCGTCAAGCCAAAACAGGAGTTTCTCAACTGCTAGGTCCTAACGGCCCGACCAACAACGATGGCGACGCCGCTAACCTTCTGGCGGCCCATTACTCTCAAACATTTCAACCGGCTGATATCAACTTTACTCATGACAGTTTCATCTGCAATTCCACAGGACTTTCTGAAGTGGACCTAAGCGCTGACTTGGTGTTCCGGAAACTGCAGCACTTAAGACTTGACACTTCTCCTGGCCCGGATATGGTTCATCCTGCCATACTGAGGGAGGCAGCCTCAATCCTGGCAACGCCGCTTAGCGTGATGTTTTCACACTCGCTTAGCCGAGGCAAACTACCGGAAAATTGGAAGTTGGCTCACATCACACCAATTTTCAAAGGTGGTCGACGCAATGAACCTTCAAGTTACCGGCCGGTAGCTCTTCTGTCGTTACCTTCAAAACTCATGGAGTCCCTGATATGCGACGGTTTAAATGACTACCTACTGTCCTTAAATTTCTTCTCACCCCAACAGCATGGTTTCAGGAAGGGTTACTCTTGTATAACCAACCTGCTGACTGCGGTGGACAGATGGACAAGCATCCTCGATCGCAAGGGAAAGGTTGATGTCATTTACCTTGATTTCTCAAAAGCTTTTGATAAGGTTAACCACTTGTGTCTTATCAACAAGCTCAAACGACTAGGTATCAAACCACCTCTAATCGACTGGCTTACTTCATACCTAAAAAATCGACACTTTAAGGTTAGGGTTAATTTCACTTTATCTCAAGCTATGGAATGTCCTAGTGGGGTCCCCCAGGGCTCAGTATTAGGGCCTCTTCTCTTCTTGATCTACATAAATGATCTTCCTCAACAGGTAACGTCAGACTTATTACTTTTTGCCGACGACGTGAAACTTTGGAGAGAGATACGCAACCAAGACGATATACAGGCACTTCAAGAGGATCTGACTCGACTTCAAAGTTGGGCAGACGATAACGGACTTACCTTTAACACTTCAAAGTGTAAAGTAGTCCATCTGCGACATGTCGCAAACTACAGTTACAACTTAGGAAACTCCTCTCTAGTAGTATCCCAAGTCGAAAAAGATTTAGGAGTCCTGGTGCCCCATGACTTAAAGTCTTACGCTAATTGTGACAAAAATGCCTTCCGAGCAAACCTTGCACTGGTAACGTTGAGGCGCATTTTTGGTCAGTTTGACGGAAGAACTTTCCACACAATCTTCAATAGTTTCATCCGTCCCCATTTAGAGTACGGAAACATAGTACTCCCCCCCTCACTCCAAAAGGATAATGTCACTTTGGAGCGTATCCAACGGCGAGCCACGAAATCAGTTCGAGGACTCAAATCTAAGCCTTACGAAGAACGCCTCCGTTCACTAGACCTTTACCCACTAGAATATAGGCGTCTTAGAGGTGATTTATTAATGGCTTATAGTATTCTTAACACTTCTGGACATCCTCTTAAACACCTACTTAAGCTTAGTTCGAACAATAACCTAAGGGGTAACACCCAGAAACTGGAAACACAACATAGCAAGACGGAATGTAGACACAACTTCTACTCCTTAAGAGTTGTCAAAAGCTGGAACTCGCTGCCGGCCGAGCTAGTCCAAGCGACTTCTCAGGAGTCCTTCAAGAGGCAACTTGACCTATTCTTAAGGACCAAGGACAGCATCGCACTATGATTTACCAATTTCTTTTCCTCTTTTATTGTTAACATACCTAGGTTCCTGCCTGGAGGATTTGGTGATCCCCTGCTACTAGACACGGAAGCCTGTTAAGCGAAAGCTTCTTCTATTCCGTCCACAACCATTTGAACCATTTGATTGGCTAATAATTGTCAAGGTCACTTAAGATTCGTTCAAAGGTCGTCCTTAAATTAGAGTCTCGCCGCGAAGTTCAGTGAACGCGAACATCTGCATCCATCTGATTGCGGACTGTCAGGTCAGCAGTTCCCTTTGTCATCTGAAGAGGAACTGCAGATGCTGGACACTGGTTTGCAGCAGAAAGAAATCAGGGGCCGATTTGTAAGTCAACAACATTAATTGAGTAATTTGTTGGTATTACAGATGGCAATGGTAACAAGGTTAATGGATAATGATCCTAAAACCTCAATGCGATATATTTTGTCGTACCTTATGACACCTGAGGTGGCCAGTAATTTCACGCTACTTGGCACTTCTTCAAAATGAGCACTTCAGAAATGCCGGTTTTACGGCTGCATATGAAGTAATCTATGTCTATTATTTAAACTTCAGGTGCATTAACAAATCGCTTTTTGTCATCCTCTGTCAATGAAAAAGACCTTTCGAAGCTGTACGACATGGCGACACAAGGTTATTTTCACGATGTCAGAGACAAATTGATAAAGCGTAATAGGAAGAAACAAGAGCAGGTATTGTAGTGTCAGTTATTATGGCAAGCCCATATACCTTTATTCTAACTTCCGGACATCCTATTTTATTCATTTTACTTGAGCCATATATTGACCTTGTCAATTATTCGCTTGTCAGTCTTGACTGTTTTTTTATATGAGCGTATATGAGTGTACACTTCATGTCCCATGATTCATTGTATGTCTGTAGCTTATTTTGTTTGACTATAAATACTGAGTAACGCTTAATTAAAATGGAGTTGGCTTCCAAGCCATCTTCCCTGTGCGTCATTTTGCTTGGCTCTATTTCATTCACTTCATATACAAAATATATGTATTCAAATGCCATTCTCGTTAATTGACTTATTTAATTCCGTTATGGACTAACGCGATCTAAGTCGACGATGATATACGAGAATCAGCGATAGCAAACATTCTTCATACAATCTAAATAGGAGTCAGATCAAACGGCCACTAAAGTATGCACTAATTTAAAGTAATAACTTGCCTATCGCTCTATAGTTATAACATAACCGTAAGTGAAGCTTCAAGTATCTGGCTGTGCCAAAGCATGTCATCTAGATATCGTTGTAACTTCTTTTGTTCTTTACACTTCAGAGTTCACAGGAAGATTATTTTCATTCTCAATAGTGAAACATACGTGGCTAAAGGAAGTAATCCGTGAAATGTATTTTACGTTCTAATTATCTTTTTTTAGCAAACATTATTTTGTAAATGAGCTTACTTTATTACTTACATGGGAAACTATTGAAGTGTTGAGAAAGTGTGCTTGATTGTCAGTGAAGTTGCGATTAAATACACATGCTTTATTAATAATACATCACCTGTTTCTTTTTTTGGAGATCTTTTCAAATAACAATGAATTGGCAATTACAATGAAAATGCATAACGATTGATACTCAAGTTTCTGCCATAATGTTGTGTAATGATACGCTTTCCCTTTTCAGTAAATTTATTTGGACATATACCATTTTTCACGTAGATTGCAGTTTCAGTGTGGTGTGTTGTGGGGATAAAGGCGAACACAGGTGACCTTTGGTGTTATGGAAAAGTAGACAATCCAGCGTATATTTAGGCGAAAAGTAGACAATTCTGCGACATTCGAGAAACAGAGCGACAAAAAGGGTGGAACCCGCATCATTTCTCCCGGACAGGCAAAAAAGCAGACATTTTTGGCGCGTTTCCCTTTTATTTTCCAACGCATGTTCGCCTTTTATCTCCGCTTTGTTAGTTGTTTGGGTAAATACAAGCTATGTTATGAAGATATACACTGGTCAGGTACTTGTAGTTCTCATTTTGTTAGTGTTAAGTCAGCGCTAAATCTCAAACCAGAGGAGTGGCTACGAAAGTTGTACTAACTGATGACTCCTTTATCCTTGATTGTGTGCATATTACGAATCCCAAATCTAATACATCCAGTTTTGCTCAGCTAGATCTGCCTGCTTTAAGTTGAACTACTTCAGGAATTCTTATTTATTAAATCAGGTTGAATACTTCTAATAATCACAGTGGCTTGCCTGACTTTTAATTAGTTTTTATTTTTATCTGACACGTGGAAGTATTGCACACTCAATTTAACTTGAGGTAAAAAAATATAAATCTATCCGACTTCTATTCGGTTTAATTGTTACAGTCATAACCAACGTGGAGTCTGGTACAAATGTTTGTAGCTCAAATCGCCATAGCAAGATGAAAAGAGGGTTCAAATAATGCAGTAGTAATGATAATGAGAAAGGCAATATTAGGGATATGGTATTTAAAAATTAGAATAAAGCAATAGATCTAGATTAGGATGAATATGCACTCATTCATTCTGTATTTGAATCTAGAATCGACGGATCGTCAGTATTGGTTTTCGCATTTAGTCGCTCATAGTCTCCAGTTGGACAGCTACCTTAAAAGACGTTCGTGGAAGTCAGCTGCTGCGTGGCAGACCCAGGCTTCGATACTGTCGGGCCAACTGGCTTTAATGGAAATGAGGGAGGCGAAAGGGTTCTAATCTTAAATAACTTAGGAGTGTGTTCCACCATGACGAATATTAAATATACCAATGAACGAGAGAAAAATATCACAGTATGTAGAAATCCAAGTGTAAAAGTGATATGTAGTGTCCCAACAAGGAACAGACAGTCTACGAGTTAGTGTACCAGATCGCATCGGGCCGACCACTAACGATGCCACAAGTATCCGGAGTATGACGTCTTAACTAGTAACACCCTTCGAATCGAAGTATGCCAACCCACTCAAATCAAAAGTCATGAATGAAGGAGTTCGAAGATATGTTTGGAAGGTTATCGGTATGTTGAAGGAACGTCTGGTCTAAGCTGGCTAGTAGTTGAAAAGAATGAGTAGCACAGCGTACCCACTCGTGGTCGGGTGCGGATGCGTGACCGAGCGCTTTCAGCTAGGTGAGTCCATTAAAACGAATGTGGTCAGCATCCAATGTCGAAGACATACAGAGCTATTGATTTTGGGGATTTATATACCGCTATAGAATCATCAGTTAGTACAACTTTCATAGCCACTCCTCTGGTTTGAGATTTAGCGCTGACTTAACACTAACAAAATGAGAACTACAAGTACCTGACCAGTGTATATCTTCATAACGTAACTTGTATTTAGTTAAACCATCAACTGGGTAATGATGAAAAGGTTGAACATAAATATAGACCGACAATAATAAACACTGCAACAAGTCTAAATCGAATCTTATACTTACTACAGTATTTGAGAGTCCAATATCCATATTATTCTTCTGCTAACTAGTAGCAAAGTGAGTAAAATGATTGTGAAACGTTATTTTTTGAGGGTATAGAGTGAGAATGACAATGCTAAATATAGCGAATGTCTAATTTCGTCTCTTTAGATCGTACACGGCATACATATCTACAGTGCCTCTAGTTCCTAATCCTGTACCCTTTATTCTAAAGACTTTAACTAGTGAAACTATATTTCATGGACGAAATAAACAGATACCATCTCCTAAATTTTTTTAAGCGAAGTCCACTCATGCACACGGACACAGTGCATTTTTATGTGATAGGTGATGTCATTTCGTGATGAAAACCGTAACTCTGATCCTAATTAGAAATGATGTTGAGACTTAAAGATCTGTTTGGATCTATATTAGTGGACATGGACAAACTAAATCCATTAGGATGAGTTCGTTGTTTTTTATTTACAGGCAGATTAACTTGTAGATGTTAATAGACTAAGTAATCGTATAAAATCTCTCCACGCTTTGCAATATTATTGTTTTCTTTTCTATAAACTATCCATTTATAAAAGCTGCTTTCTGATTGGCTAGAGAAGTAGATGAAAATTCATCGCGATTGTTTTAATTTCGTTCCCATACAATACTTTAACCACCCAGTGAAGTTTGAGTAAACAAAAAACTTAAAAGGAAACTATGAAGGTATATTGTATGTACATTCTTATAACAGAGAAATCACGTTTCACATAGAGTCTTCTGAATAGGAAATGGAAGGACTATAACTTGGATGTATTGATTCATGGTAAATATCTTGTTCAAAATCATCATCAACATCAAGGCACAAGCTTGGATCGAGTTGATTTGAATTAGTTTCATCTACTATAGAGGGAGGAAAATAAGTTGGAACTGGTGGTGGATTAGCATTTAATTCACGTCGACGATTTCTTAACCAAGAGTCGTTCAAATGGCAGTAGGCATGTACAGGCCCTGGTGTTGTACCTGTTACATATATAAGTCCAAGTTTTGGATTAATCCTCACAATCTGGAGAGAATAAATATACGAGAATATAAAAAAAGCACGAGAAACTGTCTCAAGGTATAGATATGTATATTCTTAACAAGTTCAATAGAATAAAACTAATAAACGTATTAGGTCCTAGTTCAAGTAAGCTTCCCATTTAATTGGAAGCTGAATTACTTGCTTATACTTGTGCTCTTAAAAACTACTTGATCACTTTCCTTTTATATTTGAAACAGTTCTGTCATTACGTTTACGTCAAAGTTCAGGTGGTTTCATTTGAAATTTATTATCTATGGGGTTACATAACCTTGTTGTAAACTCACATTTAGTTGCTAACAGATGGGAGCAATCGTTCGGAAACTATGGATATTTAAACCAATTGAACAACCTCAGGCCAAAGAGATTATGTTTATCAAGTAATATATAACGTCGTTGATCGCATAGATGGAATGTATCCTCGATCAATGGCAAACAGACTAGCTCTATAACGAACCAACGGTGACTGATATCGATAGAATCTGCTAGAAATCTACCAGTTTCAATTGCTAATTTAAATGTACACGTTTTCCGAGCAATTTTGATAAGTCATTACCAAAAGAGTACAGACCTCCTGCTTCTGATAATTTTTCATAATTACTTGAAATTCAAAAAGTGCTATACAAAAAGCGTAACCAGGTAATCTAGAAAACCTAGAAATTTAATGCGAATTAAACAAACTTGATTACAAAGCTAGATGAATATGTGATGTAATTTACTTACTAAGCACATATTCATGTGCTCGATGAATGATACTACCTGACTGCTTAAGGTGAGGTAGGCAAAAATGGAACTTGAACTTAGAACCTGGTGTCTCTACTAATTAATATAAAAACTTCATCTAAAGACCTAATCAGTAGGCTCAAGTATCCAGGTCATACCAACAATGAAATGTTAACATCTATTGAACGATAGAAGTGATTGTTCGTTGTATTTTTCCTGTGATTATTTGCTAAGCTCCATACTATTTCTGTAGGTCTATAAAACCATAATTCACAATAACATATTGGAGCACATTATCTTCAAAGTAACTGAATTGTTTGGTACTTGAGATTTAGAATCTTATAATATAGAATCAGAGGAAGTAAGCCAAAACAGTTTTTACTGTTAGATATTATTTACTACTAGACTAAATAAATTTTACTGGAAAAATCAGACGTATTTAGGACATTTTTATAGTGCATACAGCTTGGTGGTATGCATCAATGATCTAAGGTATTCACAAACACACAATAATCAGACATACATGTTTGCACAATATACAGTAGATTTTACCCGGTGTAAAGTGTAGTATAATCATTTATATTGATAAATCGAAAATTGGGAGGGGTGTGAATTGGTATCTATGATTGAAAATCACTGAAAAAACATCCTCATCTTTATCAAAAAAAGAGTAATATCGGACAATGAATGCAATACCTTTTAGTAACAAAGAATGCAAAAGTTCATAACGTGGGGTTGATTAATATAATCATTGGCAGTGGGAGTGATGGTGGTAAACGTTAAGAAAATCAACAAAACAGTGGATAGTAAATAGTGTATTACTGTTTGAGATTGATAAAGTACTTACTGAATAGAATATTAGACACAATCAACGTGTAATAAGCCCTGTAACATGTATTATTAAGTGTTAACACGTGTACATATTCAGTCTTGTTTTTGTGTTATTTATTTATTTGAATACATAAAAAATGACACAAGAGGGTACCAGATATATATGCCCCACCCAAAACAATGTAAGGTGCGTATAAGAAAGAAAGGAAAAAAAGAACGATAACGACCACAGATTACTGTATGGTAGTGTAATAATAAGCAATAAAAGTGGGGGAAACGGGAAGGTAAAATCAGAAAGAATTCTTTCAGTCAAGGAAAACACAACCACTTTTTATGAAGAAAGTAAAAGAAGGTTACAGCAGGATCGCCACTGGCTTCTATTCTGAGGCATATCTGATAACGTCTCTAGCCACTGCGTTGCACCATCTCTCGGACCCTAACCAGGGAATCGAGAAGGACCAACACAAGACAGTCCTTTGCAATCTTCTTTCATGCCACGACATCATGTCATATACTGACCACCTCTCTGCTTTTTCCAACCAGTCCCAGAGTCGGCAAATAATGCACGACGTGGAATTCTCTGGGACGACATTCGTAGAACATGTCCAAGCTACCGAAGTCGATGTTTCAAGATGGTGACACCAATTGCATTATCGTCTCTGTGCCCGAACACACGATGCCGAACCTCTGCATTACTAACATGGTGTTGCCACTGGATGTCAGCAATCCTTCGGAGACAGCGATGATCGAACACAGAGAGTCGTCTAACATCCTTAACTCAGAGAGGCCAGATTTCACAAGCATAGAGCAGAACTGCTCTCACCAACGCGTTTTAGATCCGACCTTTTACAGCCAGACTGACCCAGATTGGCATAAGCCGCTCTAGTTTTCACTATACGTGAATCGATCTCATCACTCACGCCACCACCAGCACTTATGTAGCTACTTAGAGACACGAAATTTCACGTTTTTAGTGGAGCATGAACCTTGTTATTACCATAATAATGATCTTTGCTGTGTGGTACGTTTTGCTAACAACTGATTTTAGCTTTTGTTTTAATACAAGGCTATTTAATTTACCGCTGAACGGTAGGGTGATGTACGTACGGTTTTTTGAGCCAGAAATGTAGTAGGTTTCACTCTGCTATGACCTTTCTATCGATTTATAAATTTTAAATGATAACCATGTTTCGTCAATGTTCTGTTCAACATCACTTCATGTTTATTTATTTATTTTATGTCAACACATAGATAATGGTACAAAGAGGCACCAAATACATATGCGCCACACAAATCTCATTCGATATGTGTGAGGGCTGTGATACTGCCCGGGTGCCCAAACCGAAGCAGGTGGTTTTCTTAGGGGGCCACACCCCGAGCCTACGACCTGAAGGTCTGATCCACAAGGCAGTGGAGCATCGTAAGGAGATGCAGTCCCATGGAAGCCAGTGACCAACAATTGGTTCATACGCCATTCGTTCCCGCAGGATACTGGAGCCCATGTGCACCATTGGTTTTGAACTCGGTTAAAGCGCCGGACATTCGCTTTTCGTCCTCTCATTTTCGTAAACAACAGTAATGCCACGAGAAGGCAGTGAGTAGGACTTCCCTGGCAGAGGCTATATACGCGTGGCCGTGTGAGAGCATTTCGAGAGGGAGAGCGGACTCTCCCCACTCTCGGACGTACCAGGGCACTAATATATCACATAGTTCTAGTAATCTCCGTCTTCTTACTACATTATCCAAATTTATCAAAGGGACTACAAGTATCGAAAGTCTAGAACTAAATTTGTACAAACCGTCGCCGAGCTTACTGTTCAGTCACAAAATATTGATGTTCTACTTTATATATTTTATAATAATTAGTCGAATAGCATTAGTATCACTTCCTATATAAACGTAGAACCTGATACAGGATACTGGGAAATTTCTACTAGAATCACAGATTAGAAATAGAAATCTCACTAACGTCTAAGACTGCACTTGATTTACAAGTTCATCTATCATTGAGGAGATACCACATATAAATCAAACCATCAGAATGGTCGAGAGACGTCGACCCCTGAATGCCCTGCTACGGCCGAGAGTGGGGAGAGTCCGCTCTCCCTCTCGAAATACTCTCACACGGCCACGCGTATATAGCCTCTGCCAGGGAAGTCCTACTCATTGCCTTCTCGTGGCGGGGGTGTTGTTTACGAAAATGAGAGGACGAAAAGCGAATGTCCGGTGCTTTAACCGGATTCCAAATCAATGGTGCACATGGGCTCCAGTATCCTGCGGGAACGAATGGCGTATGAACCAATTGTTGGTCACCGGCTACCATGGGACTGCATCTCCTTACGATGCTCCACTGCCTTGTGGGTTAGACCTTTAGGTCAAAGGCTCGGGGAGTGGCCCCCTAAGATAACCACCTGCTTCGGTTTGGGCACCCGGGCAGTATCACAGCCCACACACAAATTGATGAACTCTTTATGCCTGTGGAAATTACCTTTCTCGCTTTGAAAAACAAATAATTGATTCAGATTATTATCATTACAATTATTGTCATTATTAATACTAATATTATTATTACTACTATTATTGTCATTATTGTTATTATTATCATTATTATTATTATTTTCCACATTATTCACCCTCTTTTATACTTATACAGCGGCTCGTCTTTGGTGGAAATCCGACTGTATCTAAACGTTCTCGAGTCACTGTCCGGTTGAAAATTGTATGTTACCACCGAATACGAGGACTGAAGCAGATTTTCTGAAACCACGTGCACCATTCAAACTGGCTGCCTTCAACGTTCGCACATTTATGCAGGTCGGACAACAGATAGGGCTGGCTATGTCTTTGGAAAGTCTTAATATCGACGTGTGTTGTCTATCCGAGACCCGTATTCAAGACTCTGGCGAAGTACTACAAATTCGATCTCCATCTGTCGCTTCGAAAAGCTTGTTTTGCGTGCGCTTATCCGGGGACCCTGTGGCATCTTCGTCTGGTCTTGCTGGCGTTGGTGTCGCACTAAGCGCTAGAGCTGAGGCAGCACTAATCGATTGGATCCCGATTAACAGTCGGTTATGTGCTGTTAGATTAGAGGGTTCCATCAAAGTGAGAAGAAATCGGTGTGAGAAACGATGTCTTTTCGTTATCTCCGCCTATGCTCCGACAGATTGCAGCCCGGATGCAATCAAGGATGAGTTTTACCACCAGTTATCAGTTCTTCTCCAGAAGGTGCGTCCGACAGATATTGTAGTACTAGCCGGAGACTTGAATGCTCAGGTCGGGCGTCTAGGCATAGAAGAGAGTCGTTTAGGTGGCCGATGGGGACTCGTTGGTCGCAGGTCAGATAACGGGGACCGTCTACTGCAACTTTGCACAGACCACAACCTGTTTCTGGCTAGCACTAACTTTCGGCACAGTCATCGCCGATGTGCCACCTGGCGTCCTCCCTCTGCATCTCAAGCCTGGACTCAGATTGATCACATCGCGATCAGCTACCGCTGGCGTGGTTGTGTACAAGACTGCCGCTCCTTTTAGAGTACCTATCTGGACTCTGACCATGCCTTGGTCTGCGCCAAACTTACCTTACTTTTCAGTGGACAATAAAGTGAACGCCATCAACGGATTGATGTTAGCAAGCTGGTTGCAACTTCTGTTGCAAGTAAGTATCGAACCGAGCTAGCCTCTAGGCTAGCTACCATTCCACCGAAAAGTATAGATGAGCATTGGTTGCAATTGCATGACGCCATGAAAATGGCGGGAACAGTCAGTTGTGGGTTTGCGAAACGTCCCGCTTTTAAGCACTGGGTTTCTTCTGGTTCCTTACAACTCATTGAAGCCCGTCGGTCTACTCCGGGTGACCGTGAGTTTGACCATAAACGAAGGATGTTACGTAAGGAAATTGGGCAAAGCTTGCGTAAGGACCGAGAAGCCTGGTGGTCGAAGCGTGTTAATGAGCTGGAAGCAGCAGCTGCATCTGGTAACTACCGGAAGCTCTTCCAGCTCATCCGAGCCACTGGCAGCAAGAAGTCTGGTGTGAGTGAAACAATCTGCGAGGATGATGGGATGCCAATCACTAACATCCATCGACGTCTTGGACGGTGGGCAGAATTTTTCGAAGGGCAGTTCAACTGGCCTGCTGCTCCGGCAACATCAGTCAGACTGTCCTGCCCTCCATGGCCGGTGACGACTGATCCACCAAACGAGGAGGAAGTCCGCAAGGAACTCCAACTCTTGAAGCGTTACAAATCACCTGGGCCAGATGACTTACCTCCGGCTCTTTTTAAAGATGGTGGTGACTTTTTGACTAAGGAATTGACGACGTTGTTTACAAAGGTTTGGGAACTAGAGAGTGTGCCAACGTCATGGAATGAGTCGATAGTTGTCCCTATCTTTAAAAAGGGTTCACGTCGTTCCTGTAACAACTATCGGGGGATAAGTCTACTTCCGATTGCATCCAAGCTATTGGCTTCCGTCATTCTTCGTAGGTTGTTCAAAACCCGAGAAAGATTGACTCGCGAGGAGCAGGCTGGGTTTCGTTCTGGTCGAGGATGTATTGATCATATCTTCACCCTCCGCCAAATGTTAGAACACCGCCATACTTTTCAAAGGCCAACAATCGTAGTGTTTCTTGACATCAGGGCTGCCTTCGATTCGTTGGATAGGACTGTTCTCTGGGATTGTCTATTGAAGAAGGGTGTGCCTGAGAAGTTTATTAACATCCTAAAAGCCCTGTATAAAAACACCTCAGGCAGAGTGAGGGCATACAACCACCTCTCTCCATTGTTCCATTCGAGCAGTGGGGTTAGGCAGGGTTGCCCAATCTCACCATTCCTCTTCAACTTTGCCATCGATGACATTCTGGAAACAGCTCTGATGAATGTAAGTAATGGCGGTGTGGATCTGTTGCCTGGAGAAAGACTTATCCACCTTGAGTATGCGGACGATATTGTCTTACTGTGCGATAATGCCCAAGGCATGCAATGCGCACTTAATCAGTTGGCAATCAGTGTCCGTAGGTATGGTATGTGCTTTGCACCTTCGAAGTGCAAAGTACTTCTACAAGACTGGCAGGATTCTAATCCTGTACTCACCCTGGACGGTGAGTAGATAGACGTAGTTGAGAAGTTCGCATATCTGGGTAGCTGCATAAGTGCTGGTGGGGGTGTGAGTGATGAGATCAATGCACGAATAGTGAAAGCCAGAGCGGCTTATGCCAATCTGGGCCACCTTTGGCGCCTTCGTGATGTTAGTCTGGCTGTAAAAGGCCGGATCTACAACGCGTTGGTGAGAGCAGTTCTGCTCTATGCTTGTGAAATCTGGCCTCTCTGAGTTAAGGATGTTAGACGACTCTCTGTGTTCGATCATCGCTGTCTCCGAAGGATTGCTGACATCCAGTGGCAACACCATGTTAGTAATGCAGAGGTTCGGCATCGTGTGTTCGGGCACAGAGACGATAATGCAATTGGTGTCACCATCTTGAAACATCGACTTCGGTAGCTTGGACATGTTCTACGAATGTCGTCCCAGAGAATTCCACGTCGTGCATTATTTGCCGACTCTGGGACTGGTTGGAAAAAGCAGAGAGGTGGTCAGTGCATGACATGGTGTCGTGGTATGAAAGAAAGCTGCAAAGGACTGGCTTGTGTTGGTCCTTCACGACTCCCTGGCTGGGGTCCGAGAGATGGTGCTACACAGTGGCTAGAGACGTTATCAGATATGGCTCAGAATAGAAGCCAGTGGCGATCCTGCTGTAACCTTCTTTTACTTTCTTCATAAAAAGTGGTTGTGTCTCCTTTACCTGAAAGATTTCTTCTGATTGTACCTTTTCGTTCCGTCGTTACTACCACACTACCTTACTCCAATCTCTTCGTCATTGTTCTCTTTTTCTTTTGCGTTCCTTAGTTTTTTTTCCTTTCTACTTCTCTTCGAATTCCCATTGTTTTGTGTGGCGCATATATATTGGCGCTCTCTTGTACCAATATTTATGTGTTCACATAAATAAATAAATAAAATAAATAGAGACGTCGAAAATAAGATTAAATCAAATAAATAATTTTAATCTAAACAGAAATTAGAATCTATTTATCAATAACTAATTAGAAAGTCATTTCGAGAGACTGCTTTACAGTTGTAGTCCATAATTGTTAACTTAATCATAAGTGATGGATACGATCGACGTTTATTAGCCCCTAATTTTACGCAGACATTAGTGATTGTGAAGATTTATTTGCTGTATGCGGTTGACTGTTTTGTGACTAGTATTTTTCTAAGTGATATCGTTTGGTACACAAATAAAGATACTGAAATAGCAGCCAGGAATCAAGCCTAATCGTCAAGTTTTCGTTTTACTGGTGACTGGGTGACTTAGTTTGTGTTAATAATTAGGTTTCGTGAGCACTTAAAACCCAACCACACTACCACTGTTGCACTATCTACCTATCAGTCAGGATTCAGCTCATCATTTTAACATACTAAAACATGCACATTATCATAAATCCTGAGAACACCTCTAAAAACAGAAGCATCAAAAGGGGTTCATCTGAAAACATTCATCTTGTCTTTTTTAATATTCATCATATATATTACCTCAAACTGAGTTATATCCTTAAAGTTTACATCACGGACTAACCTTAATTACAAAATCAATGAAAGCCATGAAGCACTGGATAACTGTTTCGTCTTAGTACTAGACTCCTTAATAATGTTCAACCGTGAAGCCATCAGGAATCAAACTCAGGATATTCAGGTCAACTATCTCCACAATCCCTTATACTTAGTCATGAGACAAATATATAAAAGATTCTGTAAATTGTTTTAGAAAAAAAAAACAGAACTTGGCTTACCATTACACCACGTAAGCTTCTGAATCGATTACCCATAACACCTGCCATACGTTTGCCTCGAGGGATTACTCCCTGAAAAATGGAAGAATAATTTAAATGTGATCAGGAGAAATAAAGTAAAACGTACAAATTATATATACACATTTGTAATATGTGATAGCAATGTGCTACAATACTGATAATCGCATCTTTAATTAAAATATATCAATAATAATACTCCTAGTTTAATGAAATATACAAAAGAAACGGAAATGTAGAAAAACTGCCCTCTTTATAATATGTTGAATATATATATATATACTGATTGATCACAGAGTAGTAACCAGTGTTCTGCTTGTTTATTTCCTAATCTTAGTCGAATGCTATCGGTCAAGCATAGAGCACATGATGACAAGTTGTTTGGACTAGTGAATACATAGTGGTTTGATTTTTAGAGCTTGATCAACACTAACAAAAGACTAAACAGACATGGTATTAGCTACTACTCAGTGATCAATCAGTGCAAATTTGTTAATTATATAAGTCAGTCGCGACCCAAAATACCAATATTCAACGTCCTTAACTGTAATTTTTAAGTGAAACTGGTTCGAATCTTACAGGGAGGTAATTAGTTTGAATAACTGTTCTACTTACTTCAATTCCTGCATTACTTCCCATTCTACGATGAAATTTAGTAGAACCATGAGCAGCAGGTCCGCCTTTCATTCCCCAACGTTCAATAACACCTTCAAAGCCACGATTAGTGCTGTAAGAAGAAAGATACTGAATTAAAATAAGTAGGTAAATTGTAATTACTGTACAGACGCCCGACTTTGAGAACAACAGGCTGGATTCCGTAAGGATCGGTCGTGCACAGACCAAATTGCGACACCACGGATCATCGTCGAACAATCAGTTGAGTGGAACTCGTCACTATACATCAACTTCATTGACTATGAAAAGGCGTTTGACAGTGTAGATAGGAGGACATCATGGAATCTTCTTCGACACTATGGAGTTCCTGAGAAGATTGTCAACATTATTCAGAACTCATACGACGGACTACAGTGCAAAGTAGTGCATAGAGGACAGCTGACAAATGCATTTCAAGTAAGGACTGGAGTCAGACAAAGCTGTCTACTCTCTCCCTTCCTCTTTCTTCTGGTGGTCGACTGGATTATGAAGACTTCGACGTCTGAGGGAAAACACGGAATACAATGGACAGCTCAGAACCAATTAGACGGTTTGGACTTTGCAGATGACCTAGCCCTCCTATCGCATACACACGAACAAATGCAGATAAGGACAGCCAGTGTGGCAGCAGTCTCTGCATCAGTAGGCCTCAACATACATAAGGGGAAAACCAAGGTCCTCAAATACAACACGGAGAACAGCAATCCAATCACTCTTGATGGCGAAACTCTGGGAGATGTAGAATCCTTCACATACCTTGGAAGCATCATCGATGAACAATAAGGATGTGATGCAGACCAATATCAAAGTCAGAATCTTCAATACGAACGTCAAGGCAGTTCTACTGTACGGAGCTGAAACTTCGAGAACTACAACAACCACCATCAAGAAGACACAAGTATTTACAAATGGTTGTCTACGCAAGATACTCAACATCCATTGGCCGGATATCATCAGCAACAGCCTTCTGTGGGAGAGAAAAAACCAGCTTCTAGATGAAGAGGAAATTAGGAAAAGACGATGGAAATGGATAGGACACACATTACGCAAATCATCAAACTGCATCACGAGACAAGCCCTAACTTGGTATCCTGAAGGGAAGCGGAAAAGAGGAAAGCCAAAGAACACATTACGTCTGGAAATAGAAGCAGATATGTTAAGGATGAATAAGAACTGGAAGGAGCTGGAAAGGATTGCCCAGGACAGGGTTGGATGGCGAATGCTGGTGAGCGCCTATGCCCTTTCACGAGGAGTAACAGGCGTAAGTAACGTAACAAGTAAGTACATAAATAGTTTGACATTATCTTTTGCAATTCAGATAGCAGTTTAATATTGCTACTGTTTTATGAGAGAAAAAACAGCACAACAATACAATGCTGTCACACTAGTTAGTTAATTAAAGACAGTTATTTCTTTAAAATAAGTTGTTAATAATTCGATTATGTAGAAAATAATGATCTCATGATAACTGAAACAAATTTAGGCATAATCAACAAAGTCTACATTGTTAATATACATTATACAATGGAAAAATATAACATTATACAAATTGGCGATGTAAAAATGTTGAGGGAAACATGATTAGATAAGATCATCAGTATATACCAGCAAAGAAAAATCTTCTAAATAAGAAGACTCAGTAACAGCTGATCTTCATTTACACATATACAGATGATTTACACATTTTTACAAAGTCAAAGAGCGGCAAGTATATTAACGTAATATCCACTTCTTCCACATATATTAGTTTTATTTTTTAGCTACTATTCGATTTTGTAGTATTTTAGATTACACATTTATCGATCCATTATATGATTATCACTTAATTTGAACAAGTTAGTAAGAAAATGACTGTGAACTAAAGCTTACTTACGTTTGTTACCCCTTGGCGGCACTTGACTCTGTTGATCGTAAGGTTCTATGGTAGTGTTTGTCACTGAAAGGAGTACCAAAGAAGTACATTAACCTTATACAGGCTCTCTACTCGAACACAACTGGTAGAGTGAGAGCTTATGGCGAACTGTCATCAGAATTGATTACCTCAAGTGGTGTTCGTCAGGACTGTCCACTCTCCCAATTCTTGTTCAACTTTGTCATTGACGTACTTTTAGAGATAACACTTTCCTCATCTAAATTTACAGGGGTTGAACTTCTACCGGAAGGTTCACTTGTTGACTTAGAATATGCTGATGACATAGTTTTATTTGGTGAAGGCGCCAACAAAATGCAGAGTTTTCTGACCACTCTAAGCAACAATGCAAGTATGTTCGGGATGCGATTCTCTCCCTCGAAATGCAAAATGTTGCTTCAGGATTGGGTTGCATTGACACCCGAACTAATGATAGGGAGTGAAGTAATTGAGCGTGTCGATCGCTTCGCTTATCTTGGAAGTCTCATCAGTCCTTGTGGTCTGGTGTGTGACGGAATCTCAGCACGGATATAGAAGGCTCGACTAGCTTTTACCAACTTGCGCCATTTATGGCGTAGGCGAGATATCTGTCTATCAACCAAAGGACGGGTTTACTGCGAAGCAGTTCGTTTCGTCCTACTTTATGGCAGTGAAACATGGCCGGTAAGAGTAGAGGATATTCGTAGGTTACTAGTATTTGATCATAGGTGTCTTCGAAATATTGCCCGTATATCCTGGGACCATCGAGTAAGTAATGGAGTTGTTAGGAAACGGGTACTAGGTAAGGATGGCAAATCAATTGATGACGTAGTGAAACTTCATCAGTTGAGATGGCTTGGAGACGTGTTACGTATGCCCAACCACCAACTGCCTCGACGTGCGATGTTCAGTGGTATAGGTTGGAAGAAAGGTAGGGGCGGCCAAACTAAAACATGGCACAAGTCCATGAAGTCACTGACAAGTGGTTTAAGTCATGTCGGTAGGTGTAGACTACCTGGTTGGGGACTGCGAGATGATAGCAACCGATGGTTAGAGACCCTGAATGACATGACTCAAAATCGTTTGCAATGGCGCAGGTGCATAAACTCTTTGTGTTCTCCCAAATTTTGATCTCCTTATTCCTCCTTGTCTTTTTTTTTCTCTTCCCAAATTTATTTCACTGTATTATACCCTTTAAATAACATCTCCAAACACTAATTTTCCCGATTACTGCTTATACTCTTATTACCTCTACCACTACGGGATATGAGTCGACCACTGCATCTCTATTCTAATGTGGTGTGGCAACTCGAACTGATGTACGTACGCACGAAGTTTTACGTTGTTACTGACTGACTGTCGAGGAGCATAGGCTGCCCACAAACACCCTCTATCCAACCCTGTCCTGAGCAACCCTTTACAGTTCCTCCCAGTCGTTATTCGTTCTTTTCACTTCTGCTTCCAATTCCCAAAGCAATGTGCTCTTCAGCCTTCCGCCTTTCAGTTTAACTTCAGGATTCCGAGTTAGTGCTTCTCTCATGGTGCATTCTAGTGATCTCTATGATTTGTGTCCGATCCACCTCTTGTCTTTGCTTAATTTCCTCTTCATCTGGCAGCTGGTTTGTTTTCTACCAGAGTAGGCCGTTGCTGATGGTATCCGGCCAACAAACATTCGGTATCTTATGTAAACAATTGTTTAGAAATACTTGTGCATTTTTGATGATGGTTGTGGTAGTTCTCCCTACAGTAGAACTGTCTTGGCATCCGTATTGAAGATTCTGAAGTTGATATCGGTTGACAGTTGTTTTGAGTTCCATATGATTTCCAATTGTAGGAATGCTGTCCTTGCTTTGCTAAACCTTGCCCTTACGTCTGCATCAGATCCTTATTGTTAATCGATGATGCTTCCCAGGTCTGTGAAGGATTCTACATCTTCCAGAGTTTCTCTATCAAGTGCGATTGGGTTGGTATTTTCTGTGTTGTATTCCAAGATCTTGCCTTTTCCCTTATGTATGTTGAGACCTGCTGCTAAACTGGCTGTTCTCACCTGTATTTGTTGCTGTTTATGAGATAGAAGGGCTATGGTGGTATAATTAACAATCTAACACGGTAAATTGGACTGAAGCTCTGAATTTGACTAAATGTTGTGTTGATGCAATCTAGCTAGTGGTGTTTGGATTCAATTTCACTTCATGTTGAACGTCAGTAGCTTATAAGGTGAATTACACTTAAATTTAATGTCATAAGACACCTCAAACTATATTCACTTAACTTTTAGTTCCGATTTTCAGCTAATTTACATTTGAGTTTTTAAAATGTTAACTAATGTGAAATGCTTTTTCCCCCTTAATGGTTTGTCAACTATTTCGCTTACTCTCCTGTTCTAGGTTCTTGTCTTGGCTGAGTGGATTGATAATACACCTTTTTCCAGTCTCTCTGTAATAAACAGCTCATCTTCAAGGTAGATACAGATTTACTAATGAAAAGCAGTTATTACTTGACAGCAGATTAATCTCTACCTCAGACCAACCACCTTAAATTATTCGGTGGATACATCCAACATACTAATTAAATACAAGTTGATCTACTAAACACTATGACTACACTTGGTATCTGATGGTCACATGATACAATTATGCTGCTAAGAGCTCTTGGTAAAGGGATGGTGTTCGAACTCGTGACTAAGATTCAAATTTGAGTGCGCAAGTCAATGTATTATGGAATGATTAATAAATAACTAATGCATTCAAGCCAAGAAAATAATCATGTGTTGAAAAATAAATAAAGTAGTTTGATACCATATGAAATAAGACTGACTGATACGTTTCGAACTGACAAAACAGATTATGAAAAATTTATGAACAGCAAAAAATTACACAAACATAGAAATTTAATTTCTAAAAAAGAGCAACTTACGTTCTTGCAGTTATATCCAAACGGTCACCTACACGAAAATGATGCACACTCAAAGGCGTTCCTGAATTAAAAACAGGAAACAAAATTCACCAACTGAGATCCTTTGATAAAATGTTACAGGATGAATAAATACTGAGGTTTCTGTACTAAATGTATGTAGTTTATATTCAATATCAGTAAGTCAATCATAAACAATGTAGGGTCTGGAATAAATAGAGAGTTCATCATTTGCAGCTATCTGGGTAGCTGCATAAGTGCTGGTGGGGGTGTGAGTGATGAGATCAATGCACGTATAGTGAAAGCCAGAGCGGCTTATGCCAGTCTGGGTCATCTTTGGCGCCTTCGTGATGTTAGTCTGGCTGTAAAAGGCCGGATCTACAACGCGTTGGTGAGAGCAGTTCTGCTCTATGCTTGTGAAATCTGGCCTCTCTGAGTTAAGGATGTTAGACGACTCTCTGTGTTCGATCATCGCTGTCTCCGAAGGATTCCTGACATCCAGTGGCAACACCATGTTAGTAATGCAGAGGTTCGGCATCGTGTGTTCGGGCACAGAGACGATAATGCAATTGGTGTCACCATCTTGAAACATCGACTTCGGTAGCTTGGACATGTTCTACGAATGTCGTCCCAGAGAATTCCACGTCGTGCATTATTTGCCGACTCTGGGACTGGTTGGAAAAAGCAGAGAGGTGGTCAGTATATGACATGATGTCGTGGCATGAAAGAAGATTGCAAAGGACTGTCTTGTGTTGGTCCTTCTCGATTCCCTGGTTAGGGTCCGAGAGATGGTGCAACGCAGTGGCTAGAGACGTTATCAGATATGCCTCAGAATAGAAGCCAGTGGCGATCCTGCTGTAACCTTCTTTTACTTTCTTCATAAAAAGTGGTTGTGTTTTCCTTAACTGAAAGAATTCTTTCTGATTGTACCTTTTCGTTCCCCCATTTTTACCATTATTATTACACCACCTTACATCAATCTCTTTTTTTCCTCCCCTTTAAATTCTCATTGTTTTGTGTGGCGCATTCTTGTGCCAATATTTATGTGTTCAAATAAAATAAAATAAACTGGAATAAATGTAAACTAGTTCAAGTTATCATATCATATCAACACAGTAAAATGAACATACCAAGACGAATGTCACAGTAGTATATCAGTTTCAGTTTGGAAAGGACAAGAAGCTTGATGGCCTGTAGTAATAGTATCAATAGTGGATACCTCCAAATGCCTTGGTACGACCGAGGGTGGGGGGAGTTCGCTCTACCTCTTGAAATGCTCCCACATGGCCACATGCATACAAGAGGCGTATGAACCTATTGTTCGTCACAGACTACCATGGGATTGCATCTGCTAACGTTGCTCCACTGCATTGTGGATTAGACTTTTAGGTCAAAGGTTCCGGGCGTGGCCTCCTAAGAGAGCCATATGCACCCAAAGAGTATCACATCCCTCACACAAATCAACGGTAACTACTACTGGCATTATTGTCATTCTGTGGTGAACATGTATTTGGTGCCCACTTGTACCAATGTCTACGTGTTCGAATAAATAAAATCAATAGTGGATGAAGGGACTAAGCATAGACAATATAACCGGAGAAGGAAAACTGAATTTACAGGATAAAAAGTATAAGATGCTCTTAAAAATCAAGATCTAGAGAAAGACAAAGGACAAATGGACTTAAGTCATTGCAAGCGGTTATGAGCCATATCACTCGATTTCTCCAACCGCTGGTCGCGGCCATTGTGAGGATTTCAACCACGTGGTCTCCATCTATCTGAAAAACCCAAACAAGTAGTCAGTGAATTTATGGGCTGGTTCCACGTCTTGGTTTAGTCACCCTTAGCTTTCTCTCAACCTACTCCTACATCGCCCTGAGGGAGGCGCTGGTTGAGTACACATAGTAAGTGCCAATCCCATTTCTTTATGAAAATCTACTACCTTACCAAGTTGCTACACTTTACACCAGTACTACAAGAAGAGATTGATGAGATGCATTGTTAATACATACAAGTAATAGTAGTGTCAACGATGATAAATAAGAATAAACATTTAATCAGTATTCAGAAAAGTGAGAGATAGAAAAGAATGGAAGTGGAGTACAAATTCTAATTTATTTCTCCCCTACCCAACTAACTATCGGATGAGGTTATTAGAATAACAACTCTATTATGATATTTAAAGAGACCATAAATAGATGAAATGGGAAAAAATTAAAAAATCAAAGATAGTTAACTCATAAGCAATAGGAGCGGCTAAGTCAATGGTGGTAATATATAAAAGAAAGATTGCATATAAGGATATAGTACAGGAAGAAAGAATTAGTTCGTAGAAAGAAAGATATGAAGCGATTTTAATCTCTTAGTTTAAGGGAAGATAGACAGTGTATACACCGACGCCATTGAAATCGATTCTGAGACATGTCACCAAGAGTCTCCAACCATTGGTTACGATAGTCACGCGGACCCCAACCAAGTAGTCTGCATCTACCAACATGACTTAGACTAGAAGTTAGTGACTTCAAGCACTGATTCCACGTCTTGGTTTGGCCGCCCCTAACTTTCTTCCAACAGTCTCCAACACTCTGAGCTATAACAAACTCTTAAACTAACAATCTTATATAAGAACACAGGTGAATCAATGTTTTGGTAAATTACAATTTAAAATAATAGGTCATTTTACTTCACAACAGGAAATGAAGTGGACTGACAAAGATATATTAATTAATATGGATGGTGGGATATCCGTGATTGCTACTGTGGAGGTTATGAGTAGATCAAACAAATTCTGATTAACTAACCAGGTTTTAAAGCAGCATCAGGGCTGACCAAAAAACGAGATATTTTACGCTTTGGTGGTATACCAGCTTTTTTAAATAAATCACACCACTCAGAAGTGAACTCGATAGGGTCAGCAGAAACTGCTCCAACCAATTGTATACCCCAACGTTTTTGAGTTATCCAGGAAGGAGGCCGTTTATTATTTAGCCAATAGTGACGTGGATGTAGTAGGCTGATGTATTTGTCGATCTCTGAAGGAGGTGTATAACGAATAGCATGATTGTCAGGGATCTGATAGAAATAAAAATGTAGAGACAAGAGTAGGATGGTTAACTAGGTGTTATTGTTGATGTAGTCCACTACTTTCGCATATCACCAAATCGGTATGCGCAGAATAGCTTACGAAAGCTAAAAGCTAAATATTATGTTGTGTCATTCAAACGGTGACCCATTTCGTTTAATGGGATTATTTTAATCAATAAAACCCAGATAATGTTTATTAGCATTTTCAAGTACTATGCCACAGGATTTTAAATCGTTTTCTTAGAAGTTCAGTAAAGACAAACAACGTAACTCTGTTTAAGGAAGAATTAGGGCTGAAATGTCGCTTTTAGGCTGAAGATTAACGACATATGTTAGTAAGTTGACAGTCAAGATGTTTTATAAACGTCTGAAATTTGACTGGTTTTCTTCAATTTCTTATTCAACGAGTTTGAATAATGTAAGTAGCAACGAGCTACGCTACTTGAAAAAATAGTTTATTTTGACAAGGATAGAAACAAACAAAAACAAAGCAATGGTTTGTGGAATGAAATTATAACCGTCATCTAAGCCCTTTTAGTTACTGCATGGTGCTTTATTTTAGGCTAAGGGGCAGCATGACAGGTACCTAAATTGGGCTATAATTCAATCATTGCAAGGATCGATACAACGATAGTCGATACATCCGTATTACCATCTATAAGATACAACACATGTTGATAATTAGTTTTACCGATGTAATTAGCTTCTTTGTGGCATACACATGATGTAGTAAGGTAAATGTAATGACCTAATTTCATGATAAGGGTTTGGTAATCGTTACATAAGCGAATCATTCGCAATTCTCACAAGTGAATATTAGATCACGATACATATGTCGATAATGGCTTTTGAGTATTGAAACATGAGCAGTTAACTCAAAAATGTACATCTAAATTTGTTCTAGAAAGTTAGATCTGTATTAGAATTCCGTAACATTACATGTTACACTCTCAGGTTGTATTCTATTTACTTCTTTGGAATTTTGAAGATCACATACACTGTTGGCTTGGAATAATAACTTTTAAAACCTTGGAAATATATATACTTCCAAATATTGAACTGAACTGGCTTAGGGTTTTAAACCCATTATGTACCAAGTTTGCATAATCAATCAAGTAGAAGTATGAGTAGACTGTGTGGAGCAGTGGCCTGAAGGTTGAAGTACTTGACTTTCAACCAGTAGATTTTAAGTTCGAACCTTGCAACAACGACTTAAATTTAGGCACATGAAGAGTATTACAGATATAAAAATGATGGTTATAGTTGAGTGGCAAACAAACCGCCAATTCAATTTTTATTTGACAATTTCTTAGTTGGATTGGTTGAGCATTACAAAAGGATGTTAGTAGCTGAGTCACATAAACTAATAAACCCACCTGGAAAATAGTACAGTCGATTTTCTTTCCAGTTTTAGTCCACAGTGGGTATAATCCTAGCTTGATTGCAATAAGACCGCATCTTTGTGTAACATATGGTTTCCATGGTACCTGTGCCGGTTGTTCAGTAATGACGGGGCTTGTAGAACTGGTTAATGAATCTATACGCTGTTGTTCTAAAAATGTTTTGTTTTCTGATGTAATATCTTCATCTACATAAGGACTAGCCTCTTGAGTAACCCAAAATGGCTTTTTTCGATTCATCCATGGATAAAGAACTTTGTTTAGGCTTCCCATAAATCTTACAGGCTCTCTATAAGTGAGCTTAACAGTCATTCTACAAGTAATGTGAAAACAATATTAGAAAATACCATAAGCGTACCTGATGAATGCTCCACCAAATACTTCGAACATTATTCGATACTTTGAGATGGGTGGAATGACAAATCTTCCCAAAGGCTGAGTAATAAACAAATAAATATATTTGCGAAGACACTATTAAATAATCTGAAAGAGATTTAAAAACACAAATGTATCAAATTATCGTACAAGAAAATTTATTCTGTTGTAAAAGGGATGTAAACCAAAATCATATAAATAACTAAAACAAAGAATGAAACACTATTCAATTAAGAGGATGAATAAAATGAGGCCCCTGATAGAAATAAAGACGTGGTATTCTTATTTAATATGGGTTGAATAGTTACTGACCTTTATTATACATTAAAGCTTTTCAGATGAGATTAATGATGTATAGTTCACTTAACCTAAAGTGACCGGGATAACTGCTAATTTTTTGATCAGTAAACTATGTATTTAACACTAACAAATTCGAGTGTTCATGTTAATATTGAATAACGCATGAAATTTAAATATGACGAAATGAGTAGGACATTATAGTATGAAAAATCTGTATTTTAAGTGTAAACGCTTGTACACCAGAACCAAAATTTATAGACGGACTAATGAAAATAAAAACAGAAAGTCAAAGATTTTTGTGCAAAGTTCATTCATTCATAAGCCTAAGTAGCATTTTGACATAAAAGCCGACGTCAGTTCATGATAAAAAAACCCTAACTCCTAAATCTCGATCATAACCCTGACTCTTCACACTTTTGATCCAAGTTGGTTTTTTCAAAGCCATTAAAAAACTACTCAATCTCAAGCTCGTTTGACGAGACTATAATATATGGACGAGCCAATCGGAAGAGTTTGAGAGATTTCAATGTAACAGCACCAAGTTAAGTACCTGATGCTCACGTACGATCGCCTCACAGCGGATTACAGAGACATAACAATTGGGCGACTATAATAAATGGGGCGACGGGACTATAGTTTATGGACGAACAAATCAGATTTAAGTTAGCAGGTCTTAAATTTTGGCGCGAAATCCATTCAGTCATTTGACTAGAAACCGTTTCGTCACTATAACTGATGTCAATTCGTGATAAAAACATTGAATCTAATTTCTAACCTTAACGTTCAACTGTAAATACTAGTACTAATTCCTTGCACTAATTTATAACACTCATGTAGGTGGACATTTTCAAGACCATGTTAGCGTTGCTCAAAGATCGCCCATAAATTATAGCCTTAACGGTCAAAATGTGATTCAAGAAGAACTTACGTTGACCAATATAGATTACAACGTGCAGCCTCGAGGCTGTCAGATCTGGTAGGTATACGTCTAACATAAAAGTCGTTAATGTGCTGGGTGTGTGAGTAGCCTTGAGATTATTTAGAAGAAAAAAAGACTCAGAAAGCACATTGAACCCGCTTACATTTATCAACGGAAGTAAACGAAGAAATCTACAAGTAACACAGATGTGAGACAGACAATCCGATGTTTGCCCTCAAGGACACAATTTGATATACAACGTCCAATATGTGTTTACTACAGTCTAATCTCAAAGATTTTATATTGGCATTTGGCTATTGTGGTCTTGTATCTTAAGTGGGATTTATTTTGAAAGAAGAGAAGTAAATATTTTTATTTCTACTCTTCCAATGACACCAGACTTCAATGGAACACCCTTTTGTATAGATTCAGATTTGTGTAGTAAGCACAGGTCTATGGTCTTTTCTAGTATGCTTGTGTGAATGTCTATTCTTCTCTTGAATGAGTCACTTGAGGGTTTCGACACCATCGTTTCGTGTAACTGGTTCCAAAAATTAATGACTCGATGTAAAAACCTGTATGCCACAGGTATTTTGTTCGTTCTTGGCTCTTCTACAAGCCTGCTATGTCCTCTGAGATGTCATAGTCTGTTAGGAATGAAAAAAAGGATGTGTTGGGCCCAAATTTATTTGTTAGTATTCTATACATCAAAAGCAGATCACCTCTTAACCTGCGATAGCACAGAGTAAAGAGGTCTAGATTTTCAAAACGCTCTCTGTACCTTTTCCAGGATATTCGAGTCGCCTTTTAAACAGAGGCTTGAAGCATGAACGCAGTTTTCAGTCTTAGTTCTCACTAAGGTTTGTATAATATGGTGATCATGGTATTATCTAACTTTATGAATATCCGTCTTAGAGCTCATAAGTTTCTAAACTACTCAGCTGCAACTTCGTGACAATGGGCCGTGGTCTTAAAACCATGACTCACAGTCACCTCAAGATTCTTGTGAGGCTGAATTATGGGTACAGGCACTTTTCTTATGTCGTGTCTAGCGACTTTGTATCACCAAAGTGCATGTATACGCACTTTACCGCCTTGATAGACAACATCCATTTTTTAGACCAGCTAATCAGAATATTTATGTCTTTCTGAAGTGCACATGTATCTGCGTCGCCTGTTATGTCTCGCCAGATTTATGCATCACCAACGTATATTGACAATGAGGACTCAACTATACTTAGGTCATTTACATACAGTATAAAAAGTAAAGGACCTAAGACAGAACCTTACGATACCCCACTATGTACTGGTCTCCAGGTGGAGCACTTAGAACTTACTCTTACTTTCTGTCTACGACCTACCAGGAAATCCTTAATCCATTTTGGGAAAGGTTCGGCATTTCACAAGTTTTCCAGATTCAAGAGCAGTATATTTGTTGGGACCTTATCAAATGCTTTGCTGAAGTTGACAACATCCACTGATTTTCCATTAGCTAGAGCCTCTATCCATTGCTCATTTGCTATGAGGAGGTTTGTTGTGTAAGACAAACCCTTTTTAAAACCATGTTGTTCACTGTTTAACTAGTTGTTTGTATCCACGAATGTCATTATGGCCTTTTTGACTATTCTTTCCGGTGTTTTAACCACGACACTCATGAGGTTGACAGGTCTGTAGTTTGATGGAAATTGGCATGGTCTCCCTAACTTTTATAGGTTCCCAGTAATAGCCTTTAAAAGTTATTATCGCAGTAAGAATTTATATCATCCAGAACACCTATAACTCTGGAATTAATTTCTATCTAGTTGTTCATATAACTATTGACCATCGCTAAAACGAAATTGTCAGAAACCCGAAAAATCACTAGTGTTAGAATGGATCATGAATATGCGAAGTTTATCAACGCTGATGTCCGCAACCTCTTATTAGGCAGAAACCGCAAACCTGATAAAACCGAACCTAGAAAATGAAGGGAGAAGTCGAATTATAAATAGTGGTGAATATGTCCATTTCCATTTAGTTTAAACTTACCGGTCGTAAAGCATTCGAAGCAGGGCGTACCCAAACAAATGCTAAATGCGCATCCAGTTGCTTTAATTCATAGATGCGTCCAGAAGGACTTACAAAGTTAGTATTGTAACAGCTTAGGTTGATTAGTTAAGTGTTGACCTCAAACAACTAAGTATATATCAAAACAATGGAGCTCAAGTAATAACTCATTTCCTTATTTCGTATAGGCATCATATTTATTATTATCCTAAAAAGCTGTGTGTTTGAACGGGTAACCTATTCACCTCTTAACTGGTAGTCTGGTTTCTTGTACCAATAAAAGGAGGGTTGTCTATAGGCACGAAGGTATCAACGTCCAGGATTCATAAAGCGAATTTTGAGGATTTGTGTTTTACTATATACTAACATGAATATATAAGCACACACGTACAGTGATGCAGTATCCAAGGTAATTTCAACTAGGACATCACAGTCAACAGGTAGGAGAAAATGAGAAAAGATTGATTCGCTTTACTCCAAGGATAAGCATTTTACTACAAAATACTTGTGAACTAACTTACACCTGTTAACCTCCATGAAGAAGTATGGCCCGCCATCCAACACCCTCTATCCAACCCTGTCCTGAGCAACCCTTTACAGTTCCTCCCAGTCGTTATTCGTTCTTTTCACTTCTGCTTCCAATTCCCAAAGCAATGTGCTCTTCAGCCTTCCGCCTTTCAGTTTAACTTCAGGATTCCGAGTTAGTGCTTCTCTCATGGTGCATTCTAGTGATCTCTATGATTTGTGTCCGATCCACCTCTTGTCTTTGCTTAATTTCCTCTTCATCTGGCAGCTGGTTTGTTTTCTACCAGAGTAGGCCGTTGCTGATGGTATCCGGCCAACAAACATTCGGTATCTTATGTAAACAATTGTTTAGAAATACTTGTGCATTTTTGATGATGGTTGTGGTAGTTCTCCCTACAGTAGAACTGTCTTGGCATCCGTATTGAAGATTCTGAAGTTGATATCGGTTGACAGTTGTTTTGAGTTCCATATGATTTCCAATTGTAGGAATGCTGTCCTTGCTTTGCTAAACCTTGCCCTTACGTCTGCATCAGATCCTTATTGTTAATCGATGATGCTTCCCAGGTCTGTGAAGGATTCTACATCTTCCAGAGTTTCTCTATCAAGTGCGATTGGGTTGGTATTTTCTGTGTTGTATTCCAAGATCTTGCCTTTTCCCTTATATATGTTGAGGCCTACCGCTCCAGAGGCTGCTGCTATACTGGCTGTTTGCACCCTACATTGTTGGTGTGTCTGGGATAGAATGGCTAGGTTGCATCCAATCTGTCTGTTGTATTCCATGCTTCCCCTCAGATGTAGAGGTATTCGTAATTCAATCAACCATCAGAAGAAAGTGAAACGAGGATATTAAGCATTCTTGTCTGACTCCAGTGCTTACTTACAATGCGTCTGTCTGCTGTCCTCCATGCGCAACTTTGCAATGTAGTCCGTCGTATGAATTCCATATGATGTTGGCAATCCGCTCAGATACACGATGTGGTCGAAGAAGTTTCAACATGTTTCTCCTACATACACAGTCAAACGCTTTCTCGTGGTTAAGGAAGTTGATGTATAGTTGCGAGTTGCATCCAACTGACTGTTCAAAGATGATCTGTATTGTGGCGACTTGATCTGTGCACGACCGATCCTTCCGGAATCCAGCTTGTTGATCTCGAATTCTAACTTCTACTGAGTCTTTCATCCGGTTCAGCAACACTGTTGAAAACCTTTCCTTGTACTGACAGTAATGTGGTTCTTCCGAAGTTCTCACATTTACTCAGATCTTTGTTTGGTATCCCGATGAGGTATTCTTCTTTTTAACACATTGGCACTTGTTCCTCCTCTCAAATATTCCTGAACAGAGTGTGAGACATATTAGCGGCTGCTTCTATATCTGAGTTCAGTCTTTCGGCTGGTATATTTTCAGATCCTACTGCTTTCCCACTCCTGATAGTTCCGATGGCTATCCTGATTTATTCGATCGTCGACGGTGTGACGTGTATAGGAATGTCTGTGTGTGCCGATTCGATGTCCGGTAGATTCAATGAAGCTGGTCTAGTGAAGAGATTTTCAATGTTCCACCCGTCTGCTCATTTGTTCTTGAATCTCGGTGATCGTCTTGCCTTCTTTGTCCTTGATCGGTCTCTGGTTTACAGTATTTTCCTGTCAGTTTCTTCATCGTATCATATAATGATTCGTTAGCTCCTCCACATATTTCTACTTGTTTGCTTCTGTGTAATCAGCATGTGCCTTGAATTCTCTGTTCTCGTTCGGCTGTTGTCCTCCTATCCATACTGTCAAACACCTCATAGTCAAGGAAGTTGATGTATAGTGACGAGTTCCATTCAATTGACTGCTCAACAGTGATCCATAGTGTCACGACTTGGTCTGGGCATGACCAATCTTTACGGAATCCTGTCTGTTGATTTCGAGACTGAGCGTCTACTGAATCTTTCATCCGGTTCAGTAACACTGTTGAAAACGTTTCCTGATACCGACAGTAGTGTGATATCTCTGTGGTTATCACACTTGCTCAGATCTCCTTTCTTTGGTATCTTGATGAGATACCCTTCTTTCCAGTTTGTCCGCACTTGTTCTTCCTTTTAAATCTTCCTGAATCGGATGTAGAGCATGTTTGCAGTTACTTCTATGTCTGAGTCCAGTGCTTCAGCTGGTATATTGTCAGGTCCTGCTGCTTTACCATTCTTGATTTGTCTGATGATCAGCCCGGTTTCGTCGATCGTCGGTGGTGTGACATGTGTAGAAAAGTCTGTGTGTGTTGCCTTGATGTTCGGTGGATTCAATGGAGTTGATATATTGGAGAGATTTTCAGTGTTCTACCCATCTATTCCTTTGTTCTTCAGTCTTAGTGACTGTTTCTTCGTCGTGTCATATATTTGTCTCATATTTCCTTCCCTTGCAGCTTTCTCCTGTCGTTGCTAGCTCTTGCACATGTTTCTGTTTGTCGGCTGTAGTGCTCCCCTTCACTTGCTTGTTTGCTTCTGTGTATTCAGCTTGTGCCTTGATTGTCTCTGTTCTTATCCGGCTGTTGTTAATCGCTGTCTTCTTGTTCTTCCTTTCATAAATTTTGTGCAGGGTTTCAATAGAGATCCATTCCTTATAATGATGCTTCTTGCATCCCAGCTCCTCCTGACACGTTGAAGTTAGTGCTTCTTTGATCCCTTCCCGGTTGTCCCCCATAGGAGTT